AAATTCAAAAATATGAAAATAGTTCGTTCGACTGACAACAAATCACAATCACCACGTTTACGGTACCCAAATACCAAGGATCCATATGATGTTGAGGTTATGTTCGGTTTTATTTAATTTTTTTTATAAGCATTATTTAATGCCCTGATTTGATCAAAACAAAAATTATTTCTTAGGTCAAAATGCGTATGTGTAACAAAATTTCTCAATAGTATTTCGAGAAACACTTTCACTTACACCGTGCATATCAAAGTTGAGGTTATATGCGATTATTAAATGAAAAACGAAAACAGTGAAAGTTTTGCTTGACTGCTCCTCAGCTAACGCTAACTTGATCGTGGGCACAAGTACCATCTTGGGACATGACCCTTTGAAACAGTGAAAGTGTTGTGAAAGTGACATAATTGTCAGTTTCGAAGGTGAAAAACACGACACATCATTTCCGACCTATAATTCAATTCACGACTTTTTCGGAAATAAAATTCTGATATACACCAAAATCAAGTGCACTTGAACTGAAAGTGTCTTGAAAAAGAAATTTCAAATTTCATCACATTACTTATCAATATGTAAAATAATAAGTATGTATTATAAATGTATTCGCTGACATTTCCGTAAATGCAATGTATTTACATTTTGTCGTACCGTTTAACCAGGCTATGCTCCCAAAACGAATGTGTGGTATTTTTTCTCTTCGTCAACTTGTCATGCAATTTAATCGATATATATATATATAAATATATCGATTACGTGTATTTACAGTTTTACTCTTCATTCTTTATTATCACGTTTTTCAGTGGAATTTATTCCATATGTTGGCATTCACAATAAGAAATTAAATATGTCAATGAGTGCTTTAATTTACGTTATAAACACACACATTATTATATTGCGGTTTCTTGTTCCTACACGTGTTTAGGTTTATTTTGTTTAAATATTACTCGACACTTAGCAAGAAAATGCTTAAAAAGAAATTTTATTTATTATTTATCCGCAAAGTGACTAATTATTTTGAACGCGTTTGCAAATGTTTTCTAGTAGAATCAATTTTTCTTAATAAAAAATAAGCAAAAACACTATAGTGAGAAATGGCCCACCATTAAATACCCTACAATTTTTCATTTAATACGGTTGTTCATTTAATGACTTTTCAAAAGAAGGCCGTACATAGTATGTAGTAAGTAAAGAGTGAGTCGATCCGAGTTATTTTCAATAGCGTTCATCCTTGGGCCAAAAAACGTTTATGCACCGAATTTAATCAACTTTTTTAGATTATATGAATTCCATATAATGTTGAAATTACAACTACTACCTAATGGTTCATTTTTGATGAAAATTTACATTGAATTAATTTAGTTTAAAATAATATGCAAAGAAATAATTGATTAACTCTTTTTGTTTTTTAGTTTTGACTTAGACTATTTTCATAATTATGGACACATATATAAGAAACCAAGACGGACACATGGACGGACAAATTTAAATTGATTTAGAAAGTGACCCTAAATCGATAATAAAAGATGGCTCTATCTCAAGCCCTTCTGGATGTTGGATACATCCTCATAAACTTAATATATCTTTCTGTCATAAGTGGTGTTGGGTAAAAACATAAAATATTTGTTTAAATTAGCGATTACTAATTATCCCCAAAATTTGCGGCATTTAAAAAGAGAAGCCTTGCCTGGTTTGACAATATTTCCGAAATTGTTAAAAAAAAAACATAGCAATGTTGGGCAGGAAAAGGAATACGACTTTTTCTTCTTTTCGGGGGACTTTGTTAGATGAAAATAGAGAAGGGTGTTTCATTAAGTACCGGACCACCGCATAAGCAAGTAATTAAAAAACGTTCCTTAGGGCCTTAGGGCGGCAAATCCCGGTTCAATTCTCATTGAGATAAATCGTAGTTTCATCAACATGAAGGTTGCCATAGCGGATTGTTGAAAACGCATCACTTATTGATTCGCCATTCTCTCTTGCCCCACTTCTTTCTGACCATCATCTTAATGGTCAAATAGAAGGAGATCCCATGACTGATTGTTCATATTTAAAAATAAATAAAAAAATGTTTTTCGCAAATAAGAGCCAGGGCGCTGCCTACCTAAGATAAATATTGTTCGTTCGATTAAGCTTGCGGGATTTAAATGAAGCGGCTTTATCGTTCAAAAAGTTGATCATAATGATGCATAAAAATGTATATTTCTGTCCTCAGAAAGCGCTCTTATCGCTTGCAATACAACACCAAATTAGCGTTTCTTCCGGTATGCTTTATCGTTGTTTCTGCGAATTTTCTTATTTTATTCTTCAAACCCTTGGACCTTTGGTGGCCCACTGTTTATCTCTAAAATATCAATCGAAATGTTCAATGGGTGTCAATACGAATCTGTTCCCAGGAATACCTCATGTTTCTGCCAAACTCGTAGCTGATATCGTAATAGTTTTCCTGCAGATGGTTATATAGATAGACATGCCCACATTGATATCGAATTTGGTAGTGATTAACAATATATACATATTTTATATGAAATCTGTGAAGTTTCCTTCTAAGTGTTGCAAAGGCTTTGAATGGTGAATGTAAAAATAAGCAAGAAAATTTTATTCGGTCATGACCCAGTCTTGTATATCCGCTTAATTTTAATCAATGATAAGTAGACTGACTTTATCCTATTTTTGTAGAGATACCGTGGGATCACCCGTAGAATATATAAGCAAACTTTTAACGTTGTATATATTATGGCTGAACGATAATGATAAGTTGATGATGATCAAGCAACTTCTGGTTGTTGCAAACCTTTGGACAAAAAGAACATAGCCTTCATCCCCTGCGGCTATGGTTACAATAATAAGGCAATATGTTACGCGAATCATTGAAAATGAGAAATTTCTTATACCGTTTACGGCGAATATAATAAATTTATTAACAGTTGTTTTATTTCCTCAGTTTTGGCATTAATTGATCAAAATATTTTTAATTGTATCCACGGGTTATGAAGCGGAATTCTAGCAAATTAAATGCATTTAACCACATTAAAAATACGCGGACATGCATAGCATAGCATAAACCAACTGTTTCAATGAGTATGTACATACATATATATTTAACAAAATATCGCATAAATAAATGAATTAATAAATATAACATTGACTATTTTTTTTGTGAAAGAAAACAAAAAACAAGTAAGAAAATTATATTCGATTGTGACCGAACTTTTTATAATCATCACAACTATAAAAAATTGCAAAAAAGGAAGAAAATATAAATTTGCAAACCCCATACTATTGCGTGGGCGTGGCTAATTTTTTCAATTTTTATAGAATAATTTTGCGGAACTTTATATTGCTTGCCAGACATATTTATGGACCGCACAAAACAAATCGCACAAACAAAATAAGTCGCACATCCGCACAAAAATATCCATAACTATTTTACGATAAAAAATAGGTTTGCAAAACAAAATGCAAATCTCTTTACTAGACATAGTCCGTCGTATACCGTAGTGTATACACATGTTATATATATCAGATGGTTCGGAAAGTAATTTTGTTGTTTTTCCAACAGAGAACTTAATTGAATTTTTTTTCACAGCCAACACACACACATTTTGTTGTTGTATTCTTGCTGGTGTATAGTAAGGCTTGTTTATGGAAAAGTCTGTTTGATGCAATAGTTTCATGGTTTCTGTTTGGTGCCTTGTCAAGCAGCATTTATGGGAGATAATATTAAAAAGCATGAAAAAATTAGTGGGACTGTGTGGAGAAGTTGAATTAAGGGATCATTAATACCAAAATTAGTTTGCACTATTTCGTTCCGGTAATTTTGATGTTGAAGTAGCATCATTTTCTGGAAGGCCAGTTAAGGTTGATTGCATCAAAACAAAAGCATTAACTGAAGCACCGAATGGCAACTCGCGAGCAAAGCGCTCAACTTGTGAGATCGCTGAGGAGGGATTGAATTTATCGAATTCGAATGTTCATGATCAAATATTTATCTGCCAAAAGAAAATGGTCTTTCAAAGAAAAAAGGCGTAACGCCTTTCCAGGCAACCCAAGGTTTGAGATAATATTTTAGCATAGGTTTTCACAGATATTTACACAAAGCAAAATCTTGCTTCACTTTATCGATACATGGTTTTTTTTTTCTTTTGGTAATTGTGGGGAATCGTTTGATCCGATTTAGCTGATCTACGAACTTGATGTGACGTTTTCATTAAAGATAGGCTCAAAAGTTTAGTTTAAAGCTATAAATTGAAAGCTTTCTAATTCCTAAGCTATAATTGAGTCAAAATAGGAAAAAAGGGTACGGTTTTGATTATTATAGGCGAGCTTGAGTACCAATTTTAGAGATTGCTACTTCTCTTCACTTGATAAGAATGACATTCCTAATTGTATTTGAGATCAAGTTTTGTTATTCATAACAAAATTTTTAAGTTCGTGAATACGAATTAAACAAACGGACGGAAAGACGGATTCTTTTATTTACGCCGGTGAATAGCTTCACATGTTACAAACGTTTCGCAATCCTACTATATACCATTGCCTGTGTTGGGCAATAATTCAACCGGATATATAAACAAGTACGTACACGCATGCACACATACACAAACGCGCCGATGGGTTTATCGGTTGATTGTACATGTTTATAAGCGCGTGCAAAACTATCAACGCGCGTATTCGATGACAATTAAAATATTGAAATTGTTTATCTATTGAATATATTTCAAAAAAAATGAAAAAATTTTTTTTCTTACAATTTTAAACAAAAAAAAAAAAAAAAAAGAAAAATTGAACAACTGAACAATTGAAACGAAAAATTAAAAACATTTGAATATATTTCAAAAACTATGCAAAAACAAATTTTTTCTTTTGTTGCTCTATTTGTTTTATTATATGTTTTATATGAAAAAAAAGAAGAAAAAATCACTCAATTAATTTATTTGCTTAATTGTGCTTATGTGTATATTTACGCAATTTATTAACACTGAATCTATTTTTGAAATATTTACTATTTTGAAAGACCAGAATCATTAGAGACTAAAACATTTCACGCGAAATTTTACATTTAAACTAATTTGCCAAAAAAGAAAATCATTTTCTAATGTCAATGGCACAAATTATGCAATGAATAGGTAAATATACAATTGAATGTCAGTGTTGCCATTACAAAAGCCGTAACGAAAGCCAAAACAAAGTTTATCGAATTAATCGAATTTCTTTCGTAGGTAATATCATTAAAGCAAGATCGATGGCTTATCTTTTTTTACTACGAGTAACTTGCATTTCAGTAAACTGAAGAAAATCTTACAAAAAATATATAAGACAAAGTTTCATATCCCTTAACTTTAACTGTTAACTTAGGGGAACGAATAGAGTCCGAATACGATACGTTATACGATAGACAAATGTACGATATAAGTAAGAAAAAATTTTATTAGACACAGTTTTTTTATTGTGCTCGTGATTTTAACAGGTGGACAGATAGACAGACAGGCATTGTTTCAACTATTCATACTATCGGTGATTGCTTATACTTTATGAGATGTCTTTAATGTCTGCTTGCATAGTTTGCTGGCTTTAGTATACTCGTGGTGATGAATGTAACACAGGGGTGGGCAACTTTTTTTTTGTCAAGGTGCCAATTTTAATGTTCATATCACGGCGGACTAGAACAGGACCCGGTAGAGCAGATATAATGCATTTACCAAGTTAAATTATCTGAAATTTTATACGTGGGCCGAACTTGGCGACATCATGTGCCGAATGTGACCCACGGGCGGTGGTTGCACGCTTTTGATATAAAAGTTTTTCGCTTTTAGACAATCGGTCATTACTCTTCAAATTTTTTCATTGTATGCCAATCTATTACAATGTATTGCAAACGTGTTGTATATGCACATATATATATATATATTTTTTATTTTATTATGTATCTTAAATTAGGTTCTTTTATAAATAATCTTGCACATATATGTATGTTATTATGTATCTTAAATTCTTATTTTATAAATACAGTGATCCTTTTTCTTTATCTTTTAAATAATATATTCGATGATCTCCAGTTTCAATAAAGATGTCGGAATAAAAAAATTCGATATAAGAGCAAAGCTTACTGGTTGTTATATAACAACCAAATTGTTTTTAACTATGAAAGTATAATTGAACGAGTATATATTACCAGACCAGTTAGTCAGGGAAGCACCGGTTCATCCACGAGCAGCTTAGGCTAACTGAAAAGCCTGTTAATATTCAGATTAATCAGCCATCCATCTAGGAGAGTGGGGAGACTAAATTAATTAATAAGCCATTTAACGACGGGAATGCTTATACATGTGAACTAGGCAATCAAGGGGGAGATAAGGTACGTAGTATTGCCTGTCAACAGCAGTTAGTTGAGAAGTGGTTTAGACTAACGGATGCTTTAACAAACAGACAGCCGACCCAGAGAGTCAATCAAGTCAGCCAACGTCATGGATAAGAGTAGTTAGTCAACACGTAACCGAGATTACTTAGTCGTGGCACGACTTGTAACAGTCCGCTAAGCAAAAGCTTCGACTTGCCAGCTAAGAAAGAGTTAGGATTAACTAGTAAAGAGGCAAATTGGACTAGAGTAGGCAATTGAACAAGAACCCTAATTAGCGAAGGGGTTAATCCGCCTGAATAATTGGGGGAAAATGTTGAATAATTTAACCAATACGCAGATTGCGTTAATCATTCAAAGGCAAGGCTAAATTAGTAACCCAAAGGAAAGTCTACACTTCTTAGCGAAGGGGCGGACTAACTTAGTGAATTATGGCGCAGGCTAAATTAATCATTGGAGGGATATTTCGCCAAATTACCAATCAGCCAATGATCAGTCTACATTTGTAAGCGAAGAGGTAGACTAGCATAATCAGTCAATGAGTACACTACAATACTACTACAATAATTAGGAGCGTGGCGGACTAGCCTAATTAGCCAGCATTAGAGTTATCACCAAAGGTTGGTAGATTAGCCAATCAAGTCGGTTAAGTGCCCATCTACTTTACACGCCATAGAAAGGCCTCGAAGCCAAGGTTCAAACTGTGCCGACAAACTAAATGAAGCTTTTGGATATTCGTATTGATGGACACTTTCGAGGCTGCTTTTTGAAAATTTACTTGAAAAATCTCGAAATTATTGAAAAAGTATTCCGTGCACCAGATACTTTTTAAATGTTCATACGGTGTTCAAAATATTAAAATAAATCATAAATACATGTATTTTCCAAGTTCCGACAAATATCATCACTGGGTCTCAATCAACATCTTCGCCTGTTACAGCTTGTGAGTTTTGCGATAGGGAGATCGAAAGAATTAGTACGAGAAGAAGAAGAAAAAATTATAACCGAAATCGCTAGACTTTAGTATGGAATATTTTTCAGTATATTTTTCGGCAGTTATAGGAGGCACTTGCTACACCAGGTATCGTAGAATATTTACAATGAGGTTTACATGTATTCTAAGAAGAATTTTATCTTTTCGTCCATTTTTGGGCTCCGCTTAGCCGAGCAGCTAACAGCCGTGTGTGTAGCTTCAAATGTCAGTGTCGTAGATCCTGTTTGGCCTTAGCCATAGTGAGTGTGCAGTCGATAATGGTAGAATATGTAGTGTTTTCGGCGCGGACCGTTTAGGCTGCGGCTATTTCCTATTTATTGCACTTTCCTCACTTCTGTTTGATCATCACCTAGGGACTTCCCTAAGTGATTGGTCGTATTAAGGAAAGATCTTTATTGAATTCCTTCTAAGTATTTATTGAATTCCTTAAGCATGTCCTTCCACTATGTTAGGAATTAAAAAAAAATTAGTTTTTTGAGAATAATGATTTATTCTCCAAATCTTTTCAAGTGAAGGAAGACGCGATTATTTGCTTTTACGATTAAGTTGATGCAGATGACATATCCTTTCACCCGTGGACTTTTGTTCAAGTATCTCTTGCTTGATAATGATTTTGAAAACTAATTCGTGATAATTTAAAAAAAAAAAAACAGATACAAACCCGCACTTTCAACCAAAATTTCCGTTGTATGAGATTTCGAATAGAAGGAGATACTTTTTTTGTTTGAAGTGATAAAGCTGTAAAACTCCCCCTTGCAAAAAAAAAAAAGGAAAAAAAGGAAAAGAAAACGTGTTGAGAAATGTTTTATATTTTTAATTTTCCTTTTCTTTGCACAAAAATGATAAAATATTTATAAACGAGAGGATGAAGATTTTTAATGAATTCAAAGGTTTGTTTTTGCAATGCTGATGAAAAAAATAAAAAGACTTAAAAAAAAAAAACGTTTTCTTTTTATTTTTATAGAAAAACCCCATGATTCCGTTTGAATAGAGTGTTGTTTCTAAAGAAACAAATTTTATGCTAAGAATTTCTTCATAAATCTTTAGACATAGTCGTACGGGCTCTCTTACCTCTTGTTGTTGGCATTCATTCTATTGTTTCATCCTACGAACAAATTTTGTAATGAGGCATTATTATCGTTGATGATTTATGATTTGCGAGAATGCCTTTTCATCTTTTAATTGCGCTAAAAGTCCCTTTTCTCTGCTCTTCTCTTCTCATCTCTTCTCCAACTGATTACTACTGCTACTTCTACTACTACTACTACTACTACTACTACTACGACTACAACTGCTGCAACCTATACTACTTCTACTATAATTCGCGCGCGTAGCATTTCTCATAAAAAAGCTTCAGGCGCGCAGATACACAGTGGGATTCTTTTGTGCAAAAAAAAAAAATGCTTAACAAGTTCAGTCATTAAATGACGTCTTAAAAACAAAAACAAAAAAAAAAAAAAGAAAAGAAAGAAAAAATAAATAAATAAATGAGCGAAAAAATTTACATTTCGCAATGTATTGCCAAAAAGTTAATAGCAATAGCGATGCTGTTTAACGTACATCCACCGCCAAGTTGCGCAAGAGTATTCAAGAAAAATGTAATGAAAAAAAAAAAAACTAAAAAACAAAAAAAGACTAACAAACAAAAATTAATGTTTGACTACGTGGGGGTTTATAAAGTGCAGAGAGAAATTGATTTTGTTTTTGTTTTTGCTTTTTTCTCACTAAGTATAGCATTTTGCGCTAAATTGAAAAAAAAAGTCGTATAAATGACATTTTTAATGACTAATTTAAGAGGAATAAATAGAAAAACGAAAAAAAAAACCTTTTTTTTCTTATTTGGTTACCCATCATTTCGAAGAAAACATACAAAAACCGCAGAGTATTTTATTAATTGTTGCGGATTTCGGAATGATTCATGTGTTCGTAGAAATTTTTCAAAGATATTTTATTTATTTTTTTTGGCCATGATGTACGTGGTGTTATGTTAATCGCCTTATCCTCGTATTGCAATTTCCGAGAGTATGTTATGTCGAATCGATTTAAGCATGTCCTAGAAACCCAAATAGATATTACATTAGTAAATGTCCTCTTCTGCATTTGGAAATGCAAGCTATGGGTTTGTACCGCTCAGAAACTTTTAATATATACCAAGCAGACATGAAAGAAGTAAACTTTACTTTCTCGCTTAATTCAAAAAAAATCTGTTGCTGAAACGAGATAGCTGCTGAAATGTGGCTACGATCTCTACCTCTTTCTCTTTCGCCACTTCTTTCTGACCGTCAATTTAGGGATTGGTTGGTTAAAAAAAACACAATTGTTGTACAAGTCAGAGGAATCATTAACAAGGACGGTGAAGCCGGATATTCTTGACATTAGTTTTAAGGGCGATTAGTTGGCGTTGCGTGTTGCGATTTCTACGATCTGCTCTAATTAAACGAAACCCTTGCTGAGGATTCATTATTATTAAGGACTATTGCAATTGAACCAACAAAAAAATCGCGCTAGGGTGGTAGACATCTAGCATAAATTCTGATGCATTATGGCTAGTTTCAAGGCAGTACTTATCAGTTTCAAACGGTCGTCTTGAGTGAACTAAAGGCAAAAAAAGAAAGAGAAAGAAAATAATGATGAGCTTTGAAGGTCGCAACATGACTTATTATAGGTAGGTTGATTTCTTTAATAATTCCGTATACTTTTTACACGATGTGAATATA